ATATATAAATGTATAATATATATTGTATATCATATATTGTATACTGTTTATTGTGCATTAGATATTATTATCTATGATATTTATTATCTATGATATACTTCATGTTCGTATTATGTATATTATTTATTACATATTACGTACTATATATATTATTTTGTATAGTCTGCAACATATTGTGTATTGTATGTATATATTATCTTATTCTACAAGTATATAATTAATACATAGTATATGATATGCAATATTTAACATATGAAGTACTATCTACTTCAAATTTCAAAAATACATTTTGTGTCGTACATCTGCAGCGCACTTTCTTCCTCTTGTCTGCAGGTACTGGAAACCAGCCCAGCAGAGCACCTTTAGAGGCGCAGGCCAGTCTCCGAGTCGTGCCAGAGCGCAAGTATGGCGTGGGTTATCAGCCTTTGTGGGACAGCAAGTTTGTCGCTCCACCTCCCACTGTGGAGGAAGAAAGCACGCAACAAGAAGAGAAATACGAAAATGAAGAAGAAGGAGAAGGAGAAGAGCAGAAAGACAACACAGAAAACAAAGAACTTGAAATATAAGAGCAGCAGCAGCAGCAGCAGCAGCAGCAGCAGCAGCAGCAGCAGCAGCAGCAGCAGCAGCAGCAGCAGCAGCAGCAGCAGCAGCAGCAGCAGCAGCAGCAGCAGCAAGAGGAGGACGTCAGCTCTTTCCAAGAGCGACACGAGGATGAAGAGTCATCGGATTGTTTTAACCATGTTTTAACCTTTCGAAGTTCGACAGGCGGCTTAAGCCTTAAGTGCCCGCTATCCGCACTTGCTGGAAGCTCTGGGAAACGTGACAGCTCTACACACCCGCATTCATCGCCGCCCGTGAATCGTGCACCCAGCGGGCGCTGCAGGTAGATACGACGAATACTTTCGTACTGGCCTCTGAAAGCCTTTGGCGGCAATGTCTCATCGAGTCGAGAAGCCAGGGAGAAGTGCTCTAAGGAAGAGCACCGATGTTACGGTGCAACAAAAAGTTCACCTTTTCAGGTCCGGAGTACATCATGAACGTCAAGCAGAGCGACACCAGACTCTTGGACTTTTGTTGGGGTACAGGTGGAACTGTTCATGACTCTCACGTCATGTTTGGGCATCTGCTCTACGAATCAGTGAGGAGTCTACGCCCAGTCGGCACGCGGCTGAGATCGGCTGAGCAGCAGTCACCGGGCATGTGAATGTGCGCAATCTTGATTTCTTCAGTCAAGGCCAACATTCGCAAGATACTTGTGTATGGGAAGGCTCGTTGAATCTGGATGCCGCGTCAGCTTTGAGCCTGCCCCGGCTCGTGTACAGGTCCAGCACGTCATCAACTTTACGGAAGGGCCATCAAGGGACGATGTGGACAAGCACTGGAAAGACAGAAGAGTGTTGAGGGTGCGCCCGGGCGAAGTCAGTGGAGCAGCAATACGTTGCAAACACGGCTGCTGGTCACAAGCTCGCTCAGTCCTAGGATCAAATCCCTGAGTTCGTTCAACGAATTGCTCCTCAGCCGGAGAAGGTTCGCTGTTGACAGGAGATGCGCATCTGCTGCTCCGGATAACTTTCACCTGTGCGAGGCATCGGCGTACTCGGGCTTGGCTAGCCTCTTCAGGGAGAGAACTTGGCTTAGCATTCTGCTTGCAGAGAGAAGGAGAGAGTTCGTGCGGCGAGGGGCGGGGCCGGTAGGCCACGAGAATCGGTAATTCCCAGGACCATGGAGGGGGTCGCTGGGCCTTTTTTTGGGTAACCCATGGGCACCCGCCCTCGTCTGTCCATTCGAGCTGTTTTTTTGTGCAAATGAACCCACTAAGGCTCCCGCCCTCACCCCCCCGCCCCGCCCCCGACACAAAGTGTTGACGATGTTTTGCAAACGGAGCTACAGTGTGCTGTAAGTGCACAGAATTTTATGAGATGCTGCTGATATTTGACATTGCATGATCAGGTGGTGTGTAGTGTGTAATAAATGTTTTGAGATGTGCCCCTTATTCCCGCATATGCTTATTATGTGTATATATACATATATTACGCATACGCATTTTCCTGTTTTGCTGAAGTGCTCAGAATAAATATCAGATTCTAAGCAGTTTAGTTCATTCAATTGTCGCGCTCCTTTGCTACAGAGATACTGTCATAAGTTCTTGGTAGGATTTGCGCATTTCTGTTTTACAGTTCACACTATGTATACTGTTACTGTACATGCAGAAGTTCCAGGTCTTGTAGTGTACTATTGTTCTATACGCAACAAAGGTAGCTGATGCAACATACATTGCTTCTGCACGATTCCTTCTACAAAACACTTGGGGGAAGACAAAACACTTGGGGAAGACCTTAACATATCTCACTTTGTTTAGCCTGCTGAAACATAGTATGCTGAAATGCCTTTTTTCTCAACTGAACGTTTATACTAAATGCAAACTGGTTACACACATCAAAAGAGAATCACATAGACTGGACGATAATGACAGATGATTGCAAGCACGCAGAAGTTCGACAACAAAGACGAAGGGATGTTTCTTCTCGATGCGGCCCTGGAGTCCCCGACTATCTTTCGTCCCAATCCTGCAGCCTAAAGTGTATTTCAAGGTCGGAACCTGAAGTCTGGTAGTTCCATGCAGTTGTAGAGTTTAAAGGCCCATCGCCTGAGTCTCCCTCCGAAGATCCGGCGCCAACCAGCCCGGGGCATCCTACCAGTTTTTTTGCCAGGATTCCGGGGCGACTGGCGCAGGAAGGGCGGAGGGGGACATTCTGCGACATTGTGCCATGTGTAGTAGGTCTAGGAGGACATGCAGCAATCCGCGCATGCAGCGGTAGAGCTGTGGGACCTGGCCGTTCACATCCGAGGTGTGTACCTGCCCGTCAACTTTTTTGCATCTTGTCGGCACACGCCGCTCCACCGATATGCCTGTTCGAGAGCTTCTGAGTCTGACAGGCCTGCCTTGTTGCGAATCTGCACCAAAGCGAGGAGGCCGGGAGAGACTACTGTAGTGACTAGTTGTCAAGTTGGAATGAACGGCTGTGCGCTGCCTTGATCAAATTTGAACGTCGCTGCCTGAGATGCGTCTTTTCTACTCTCACATGCGCAAGGTCTTGCTTGCCATCGCCAGCTGTCCCAACCAGGACGCCGCCAGTTCTTGTGCACTTGTTGCAGCCAGCCAGGGCCTGCGCTATTGCAATGCCTCGTGAGGAGATCTTCCGATTGCGGGAGTGCGAAGCCATCGTGCCAGGACCTTGAAACAGTTTTGCCAAGTCGTGTGCCTGGGCTACCCGTGCCCCGTTCGGCAAGTCCCCCCATTGCATGTGTTTCCCCTATCAGTATGTCACACTACTGCAATCTTGAGCATTTGGGAGCGTTCAGAGGTGGTTTCCATCATTGGGGAGGGGTCCTCGCGGGCAGAATCATGTTGAAGCTAGCTACGCGTATGCTTAAGAGAATGTCTCGTTCCAGGTCTTTCAACTGGACGACGGTGAGATACATCCATCTCTCAGACCTCGCAATACAGGAGAGTCGGACTCGCACCAAAGCATCTAGTGATCAGTCTCGTGATGGCAATGCAAAGCGTGCGCCTCCGGTTTTCGGCAGCATGCCTTGCAGCGCAGGCAGCCACATCGCTGTTTCTGCTGTTCAGCATCTCGACGTTGCGCGATGAGGCACGCGATTTTGGGGCGGAGTCTTTGGCATCCTGGCATCCTAGTGTTCCAGTGACAGGCACCAGAGTGGTGTGCCAACTTGCCCTGGTTCGCCCGGCCCTCGTCCAAAGAGCGCCTTCGCGCTTTTGAGCTTCATTTCGACAAGCGAGGCATTGGCAGGTCTTCCATTCGTAACGGCCACCGTCATTATGAGGCTGTGTGAGGCGAGGACGTCCCAAAACCTCAAAGCCCCCAAACCCCCCCTAAGGCCCCCGTACAGCCCCCATAGCCCTAGAAAGCCTCACGCCCAACAGCCCAAGAAGCCCTTGACCCTAAACCCTAAACCCTAAACCCTAAACCCTGAACCCTGAACCCTGAACCCTAAACCCCTAAACCCTAAACCCTAAACCCTGATTTTTTTTTTGCTCTCCGCAGGTGGTCGGCAACAAGATGAGGGAGCCTTGGGAACTCTACACCGAGGCGTGGTCGAAGTCTGGGAATCAGAAATTGGGCTTATTATTTTATTGTTATTAATATTATTCTTGTTATTATTATTTCTTATTATTCTAATTCTTCTTCTTCTTCTTCTTCTTCTTGTTTTGTTTGGGGGGCGTGGGGCGGGGGGGGGGGGCGCGGGTGTCCTTAAACAAAGTTCAGGGTTTAGGGTCTAGCGAGGATTATGCTAGTTTGGGGTTTAGTAGGGTGGTAGTCTGTCGTAGATCAGGGAGGCCTCTATTTGGGGAAATGCCCATGTGCTTGAGGCTAGATGCGAAAGGCCTGCGATTTTGCGGCGAAGCTGCGGCAGAATCCCTTTGCTCTCTTTCGATTGCCGTCGTTTCCTCTCAGACAGGGCAATGCGCAGCTCCGATGTATTGCAATCTTGAGTTCTGAGTAAGCAGGCTCAACCAGGTGATGCAAAAGGGTCTGACGTTGGCCAGATATCGGAACCGTGCATGACGATGGATCCGCGTAAGTTTCGCGAAAGCATATTGTCGCAAGGGGGATCATCTCGTGGGGACGCAGAATTTCACAAGAACGCCCGCGTCTTTCAGGGCTGTCGCATAGAAGCACGCACAGCGAACTATTTTAGAGGTGTCTTCTCTCGGCGCTCTGCTTGCTTGGGGTCATAGTTAGTGTCTTCGATCTTGAGCCCTTTTCCTTTTTTTTTGTACTTTCTTCATGCACTGAAGTGGGCAGCGGCCCACCGTTTGGCTCGCTAGGTGAGGGCATTCTGTTAAAGCCTGGAAGTCGAAACCGCTGTGGGCTAGCTTCTTCTGGAAGATCATGCGAGGCAGGGTCGGCACTTTTGTTCTTGGTGCAGTGACTGTAGGGCTCCATGTCACGAAAGGGAGCTCCGTCGCAGCTCTTGCGGGCGTTTTGCTGTCTTTGCTCAGCGACAGCTGTTAAAAAGGTTCTGCGTGCTCAACACCGGACCCCAAGGCTAAAGCTCCAAACCCGAAACAGCCCCCTGTGGACATGATGTGCGGGGTGTCCTTTGAAAGCTCGTAACAAAAAACCACTTAATGTCAGGCTGTGGAGCTCATCTTGGCAGTGGCTACCATGGCCCTGTTCATCGCCACGGGCTCGGAGAGGTTTCTCGTATGCCCTCGTCTGCCTCAATGTACATGCAGGTCTTCATGATCCCGCCCAGCAGCGGTGCACTAACCTGCACGGATCGCGGGGTGGTCGGGCACTTCAAGAGAGGGAGAGGTCATGGGGTCAAGCGCGCCCGCTAGCCGCACTCCGCAAGGTTGATCACCTGTCCATGCGGGCGGCCATAATTGTGACAAGCTCCCTGCGGCTGATGCATAACATTGACATGTTGCCTGCGGCCCAGCTCGCTAATGTCTTGAAAAGCAGTGCACAGGATCTGCGATGCCAAGGAGGCTCGCGTTCTCAGAGGTGAACATGATCGTGACGCCTATCATCTCAGCGTTAGCTCGGTCACTTCCGCAGCCGACTCAATTCTGCAGCTGCTCTTTGAAGTCAATTGCAAGCCCCTGCGTGTTGGGGAGCAGCCGGCATTGGGATGTATTGGCGCTAAGAAATCCTCCCTCTCACTCGGCCTTCGGCGCCCTGAAGCCTTGAATGCCACATTGGAAACATGAGTGCGGAGGTTTCTCTCGAAGAGTTTTCCATGCGCACAGAGCATCAGGAATCCTGAGCCCTAAACCCTGTTTGACAAGTGGGGGTTGCGAGGCCTCATGACCTTCGGTGAATGTGCATCGCAACAAGGTTCTGCCTAGCAGTGATCTACTTCGCCCGGGGCCAGAGCATACTGCATTTAGCATTTTCCGTTGCAAAGTCCTGCTGGACAATCGCAAATTGCACGCAGAGGCTTTCATCATGTGGCAAGCCTACTGGACCTTGGACGTGGAAGAGTGGCAAAATGGCTGGAAGGCAACGTGCTGTAGCGGCTGTAGCGGAGCATTCGTTTGGAGAAGCGTGAACCTTGAAGCAGCGAGACCTATAGAAAGGGAGCTGATGTCTGAGAGGCAGTCATCATCGCGTGGCGGTTTGCCGTCTTGGGTGACTTCGAAGTGGACGAACTCGAGGGTCAAGAAGGTGCTGAAGCAGACACTGGCAGATTTTCCGAATCGATCATGGAGCCTATTTTTCTGTAAAGTTGAGTTGCAAGGCACCTGGCACCAGGCGAGGTGGATGGGCAGCGCGGCGTGAGTGGTCTTTTGCTCTTTTCGTTTATCGCAGGATGGCGATGGATCAATGTGGACATATGAGGAGTCTTGGCTATATGGCATAAACATTTGCAGTTGGCATGCTTCTCTCTTCACGGCACCGAAGGATCCAGATCTGACTGACAATTCGACATTGGCAGCAACCTCAGACTTATGTAGGGCTCCCTATATGTGTTGGTCCAGCCGTCTCGAAAGTAACTGTGTTCCGAACCCCTGCTTCACTCGGACAGGTCCGAGGAGTCTTCATTGTACTTTGCGGAATGATGTTCCCAGTCCTCATCATGAACATCCTGATCTCGGTTCTCAGTGCTGCTTGCCGTGCAATGTGTGTGCAAATCATGTGCCCCTGCGCTTCACCACCAGCACGCGATAGTCATAGTCATGTGACCACGGTATTCGCGGTGTTAGCTGACACGGATGGCCGATCTGTTGTTCGAGGTTTGGCTCGATTTCGCAATCACGAATGCCATCGTCCAAGCTGCTGAAATACCAGGTTGCAGCTTCTTCGGGCGGCTGAAGTTGACCTCAGCTGGTTCTTGGCAGGGAGCGTGGGAATCAGGTTCCCTACATTATCCATAAATGAGTTCGGCAAGGGGGATATTAGCTAAGAGTTAGCAAGTTATGCCAGGCTCAATCTTTCATTTCGGACAAACGTTATTGGAGAAGCACGGCAGACTTCGGTGGCAGTTCTCTGGAATGAAGACATGGCTTTACGCACCAAGGTGTGGCTTGACTTTCAGCGGGCAAGAGCCAGGAGAGTGTTGAAGTACAAGGCTGCATCTCATGAACAATGATTGCACATGATTGCAGTGATTCAAAAGCAGCAGCTGGCAGGCGTTGATCCGATTGATGTGCAGGTTCCGCCGGCGAAAGGACCGATAGGGTGACATATTCACAATTTGGTCAAGGGGTTGTGATTCAGGGAGAAGTACAAAGCTGTAACGGAGCTTTCGTATTGCTTACCAGACTAAATCCAGCTCGCTGGGCCTATACTCGTCTGCTGTGGTGACATGCGCGATGGCGTGTCTGAGGTGAAATGCTCATGGGAGTTTCACGGTTAGGGCTGACAGTAGAGCAGATGTGCAGTGCACAAGCTTGTCGTTGGCGCCGTGGACATGAACCCTGCGAGTTGCGTCCGACGTGTTTTACTGTTGCAGGTCTTTATCCGCAGGTACAAAGGCAGAGACCAGAGTTACTCAGCTGTGGCAGAACAATTTGCGAGCAGGCTAAGAATCATAGCTGCGAGCCGTCGCCAGGACACAGATTTGCAAGACGACCAAGGCGCTCGAGTGGATTCTCGCAGAAACTGTCCTCGCTCACCATGGACTCTGCCAGATGCGAAAGTGAACGCGCCGTACATTTGGTTTTCTTCTCCGAAGGAGGAGGCCAATGGTGAATCGCTTGCGTCTCTGTTTCCGTTTGTTGCTGCTGTGTCTCGCTGCCCAATGAGGTTAGAAGCGGTTGGTTAGGTCGGTTCAGCTGGATGTGAAACTGCCCCACGATTCAGCTTCCACCTCTGACACTGTGGTGTCGGATGTGTTGTGCGGCAATCCGAAGAACTGGACTGGCATTGTATGACAGCAGGGACTCGAGCAGAAACATCTAGGCAGCAAATCTGCATCAAGCAAAAGCCCGATAGATGTAGGTTTGCCACGTCCATGTATTTGGGGTGGGGCCTTCTCCTCGACCATCTACTACCGCCTCGGCTCATAGTGATGCAATACCCTTGCTCCCCCACACTGACATGCCGCATCCCCCCCCCCCCCACCCTCAACCCTAAGCCGTAAACCCTGCTTGCTGGTGTTCCTACACGCTTGCAAGGAGATTCTGGAAAATGATGTTGCGCCTGGACTCAATCTCAAGTTCAAGGTGCAGCTGCCTGTGCTGCTGCTGTGGAGCTTTTGGGTTGTTTAGGGTCTAGGGTTTAGGGTTTAAGGTTTAGGGTTCAGGGTTTAGGGTTTAGGGTGTGGCAGTTGCTAGCTGGTGCATCAGGAAGCCGCCGAAGGCGACCAAAGGATTGAGTCAAGGCCGGGCTCCCAGCATTGACTACCCAAACATGGAATCAGCTTGTCACCGCATCATATCACACGAATCACATCGTGAGTATGGGAGTTTCGGGACCTGCCAATCTGCTAGAATCTTGAAAGGGTCACCTTACAAATGGACCCCCAAACCCCCAGCCCTAAGCTCTAAGCCCTCAAGACCCTAGACAAGCTGCCCATGGCGAAAGGCTAGCAAGCTTGGAAAGGAGCGTGCAGGCCAGAGCTCCACTTCACTTCGCAGATGTTTGGAGCTGGAGATGTGGAGAGGAGAGCGGGTTTTCGGGTCAAGGGTTTAGGGTTTAGGGTTTTTAGGGCAAGTGACAGCGCAGACAGCTGAGACAGCTAAGATCCTGGTTGACAGCAATGTTCGAAACGACCGTCGCCGTACCGGCCCCGGTGCACTCGGACTTTCGGCCCGAACCCTCAAGCCTGAATCCTGAACCCTGAACCTGGACATCTCTTCAGCTCAGGTGCCAAAAACACATTCAACAAGGCGCCCGCAGCTCAGGAGGCCCTTGTTCCTGTAGCGAGGTTCAGCTTACCGATTCTGAGTCGGAATTTTTTGTACGCTGCTGTCGTGAAGGGGGTCTAAGCATAGGGACTTCTAAGCAGCAAATTCCAACTACTAGGAACCGGTAACTTCACAGGGCTCTGCTTCTGCTGCCTGGCACCGAGGTTCAACGGGCCCAAAGGAGTTGAATAGTGCCTGGCTGGCAGGGTCCGTTCTCGGTTTCTTCGACACCGGCCCTCAACAGTGCACAGAACATCAGAAGAGTCGTATAGAGTCATAACACAGAGTCATAGTCATAGAGAGTCGGAGAGCGCAGCGCAGTCGTTTCCATGCAATGGCCGTGCTTTTCGGCAGCTTGGCCAAGCCAAGTTGCACTGCACAATGTCATGATGTCATGGTGGCAATGAATGGATCTCGGCTCGCCCGGATCGCTAATGCCCTCCTGCCTTCAGTGGGGTGGCTCGCGTCTGCAGCTCTGGCGGAAACCAGCCTGAACCACTGGATGCAGCAAAAGAGGCCGACAGCACATGGCTACTATGAGCCAGACTCAAGCCCTGTGCCATTTGATGAGCCTTTGTGCTGTCCTGCCTGGTTTTGCATTTAACTGCCCTGCAGAGGGCGTAAAGGTTGTGCCATGTACAGAGGGATCCTGACGGCAGCTCAATTGCGATTCGAAATGCTTGTGAGATTATCGTGCATCTTTCCTGTTTCCTGTGCAACATGTAGCTTTGAAGAGTACACTTGCCATGGGAGGGGCTGAAGATCCTATCATGCAGCGGAGGAGCATCTTGCAGCAAGGCTGAATCCGAAGTGTGTGCCGATCTAACCTGTGGTTCCTCCTTGGTCCTTGCTTAGGCTACGACAAGCTTCGTGCTAACAGCCATCCCGCCGTTCTTTTGGAAGCATAGTTCCATATTTCATAGCGTTGATGTCTTGGGTTTGTTCTTACTTTGAACTCCTGCGTCCGATTGGCCCAAAGCCGGTGTCGATGGCCGGTACAGCAGAAATCAGGAGCATGGCCCGACCCCAGCGAATCTGCTCCGTAGACACGTTGTAAATCTGCGAAGCAAGTTGCTGATACTGCAGACATCCCTGGGGTATTTTGCGACACGGCAGTGAAGATAAGCCAGTGAAGCTGAGCGCATGGCACATGTGACGTAGCCAACCTGGCACAGGGGCGTTGTCCGTGCGGATGGCTTTTTTCCCAGATGGCAGATAGACATGGGGGCTTGCGGGGATTTTCACACTGCTCCTTGGATGTATTCTTCAAGTGGGGGCAAGGTGCGTGTCTTGGGTGCGTAGTGGCAACTTCGAAAGCCTCAGGTATTGATCAGATTGGATGGACTCTCGGCAGGCACTTGGATGTTACTGGCATACACGACTCAATTCTTCTGATTCTTGTTGCTGAACTGTTTCTTCGTCTTAACCAGTGACTAGTTACTTTTGTTGTGTGAATTGAAAGTCCAGTTCGTATCATTGCAATTGCCATTGACAGCACATGCTCCAGGCAAGCTTCTTACAGAAGCTGCCCTGGATGTGTTCATCTCATCACTCTTCTCCCGGCTAATCTCGATGTGTCCTTGCCTTCGACTTCAGAGAAACAGCATGTGTAGTGATGTGTAGTGGACACTTTCGCCGAGAACGTCAGTTTCCGCGTGAAAGAAAATTGGGGAAAATTGTGGAAAACTGTGCAAAAATTGACCCTGTCAAAGTAGAGGAGTTCCAGCCTTGTCAGGCCACGAAGCAAAAGACCGTAGCTTCAAGATCTTGCACAGACCATGTCAACATCGCAGCCCCTTGCACAACCTCCTTCTTTCCTGTTGCGCTGGCAAGCCATTTCCTTCGAAGCTTGCTGCGCAGTTGATGCTCACACTCGTTCATGCTGTCTGGAAGCATGCTGAAACCATACACTACGATTCTTGGACGGCTCTTGCCAGTGATCGGCAGCAGCATCTTTTCCATCCAGCATGAAGAGTGCGGCGATTCCAGAGACGCCGAAGGATTTTGATCAAAACCTGAAGCAAGTGATTAAGGACGGGCAGTGGCTTTTGGTGACGACAGATATGGTCAGTGTCAGGCCATGAGCAGTGTGACATGCCGCCGATAGAACAAGCTTGGGGTGACCCCAAACCCAAAAACCTCGAACTGCACATTGATAATGATGGAGAACTTCGAACTGCGAATAACTGACGCTCAGCTTGCGTTTTGTAGGTGCCGAATTTGCCCAAGGGTCTGCGCTACATCTCGGCTGCAGCAGGTTGTGCGGTCCTGAGCCTTACCCCTCAGTGTGCAGAGGATAAAAAGCCGTAAGCCTAAAACCGCAGCGTAGCCCCCCAAGAACAGCGTAGGCCCACGTAAGAGCAGACTCTTCCAGGAGAACGAAGAACTCCAAGAGCTCTGCAAGACCACGGTCTAAGACGCGCGAAAAACCCGAGAGCACCAGGAAAACTCCAAGAGCAAGCGCTCTAAGAATAGTGTCAGAGCACGCCGAGGCCACTCGAAGAACATGCGAGCCATCCAAGACGCGAGCAATCGGGGCACCAATGGGCACCAAAAGCGACGGCAGTTCTGCACTGTGTGGCAAAGAACCTCCAAAAGCCAGGACGGTTCTGCATCTCGCGACTAGGAGGCTCCACAAGCAACGACAGCCCTCCATTTCGCCGCAAAAGCCCGACCCCTGCAGCGATAACAGTTGTGTACACAGGACTGAGGCGAGAGTGCCGTTCGCAAGGCTGCGGCATATCCATTGGACACACGAAGCTCTGGATGTTGGAGCTCAACAGTCGGCGCACTGTTTTTGGGAACCGCAACAATCAACCAATGTGGATGTTTAGGGTTTAGGGTTTAGGGTTTAGGGTTTAGGGATACGGGTAGTAGTAACGGCATCTCCATGCATGTCCTTGCATGAGGCCTGAACTCATGAATTCTCGCAGCTGCCGACTCTGAGGTCGTCACACTGTTCTTCTCCGCAGCGACGGGAGAGCGATCGCTTTTGGAGCGAATGAACATGGACAGTGTGATGTGCCTCATCTGCGGTCTTCGGCCTTCAATAACATTTCAATAACCCTCCCTTCCCTCCAAAAAGTGGAATCCCCCCCCCTCGCTCCCTCCCACAACCCCCGGGCCCGCCCGCCCCCCCCCCCCCCCCCCCCCCCCCCCCAACCCCAACCCCCCCCCCCCCCCCCCCCCCCCCCCCCCCCCCCCCCCAAAAACAAGAAGCAAAACAAACAAGAAGCAGACGGGGGCTTTGTAGGCGCCGTCCTAGGTCCCGCCGCTGAGCGCGCAGCTACGCTACACTCGAGCTGCTGCTGGCAGCTGGCACACAGCTGGCGGCTCAGGGCCCTCCGATCTTGTGAGGCCGTTGGTGATTGTCATGAGCATTGGGTCCTGATCGTTCTCATCAATGTTCTTATCGTTGCTATGACTCTTGGTATAAAACTTCTTGTTATTGTTGTCATACCATCAAGGTCTTGTTGCGCAGCGATGGCGAAGCTGTGGCCATTGGCCGGCCTCATGAGGGACAGTGCAAAGTCCCTGCCTCTCGACACCAAGTCTGCTCGCTCTGGCGAGTCTCCGCCGGCTGTTGCTATCGTTCCGAGGAACTGTCAGCGCTGACGGTCAGGGAGCAGCCTGTGGTCAGCAAAGTCGACACCAAGGCCACCGATCTGCCCTGTTAGGGTTTAGGGTTGAGGGTTTAGGGTCTAGGGTTTACTGCCTGCCGGTAACTTTGTTGGGCACAGGGCGAAATAGACGGACTCGCGAAGCAGAGCTGTCTTTTTCAGCAATGTCTTCGTCTTTGTCTTGGAGATGCACGGGTATTGTCAGAGTTTTGCCCTAGGCTCCAGCGCCTTCCCTTAACGAGCTCCAAATATCCGGATAAGGAGGTCTTGAACTTGGGAGAGGTAGCTGGGGAGTCTAGGGCCTGTATCCCAACCGTTCGCCTGGGAGGTCGTTTGCGGGTTGCGGGGCTGATTGCGAACTGTGCTTCTTGATGGAACGGGTCCCTGACAGCTTCAACAACTGGTTGAAGTCCTGCAATCTAATCTGGAATTCTTTAGTCGAAAATGAATGTTTTTGATCGGTGTGTTTACCGCACAATCCGCACAATGGTCTACGTGTGCATATCAGTGTCGAGACTCTTGTCACACTGCATCTGCGAGGACGTTGCCGTTCAGATTGGCGAAGCCCGAAAGACTCGATTGGGCCCTGCTGAGAGGAAACTGCAACCCACTTCGAGGGCGGCCTCCAAACACCTGCGGTACGTCGCTGTGGCTGCCGGGGCATTTCACACCGTCTTGCTGCGAAGTGATGGGGTGGCAGTTGCCTCGGGGTCTTACAAGTCCCTAGGGTTGGTTCCTCCACCTCCGTCTGGAGTGAAGTACGTTGATGTGGCGGCCAATCTGGAGCACACATTATTGCTTCGCAGCGATGGGCATGTGACTGCATGTGGGCCGGATGACGGAAGTGAGCGGCAACACATCCCAACGCCCCAAGCTGGGCTGGACTACGTGGCCATCGCCGCGGGAGCCCATCACAGCGTTTTGTTGCGAAGCGACGGGACAATGGTGGCTTGCGGACACAACAGTGATGGTCGCTGTACGGTTCCTCCGCTCCCAGACAGGACTTGCTACACCTTCGTTGCAGCCGGCTTGCGACATACCGTGGCTTGGAGGAGTGATGGTGTTGCTGTGGCCTTTGGAAGCAGTTCGCTTCCGGCAGGGAACCCGCGAGTTCAATCTGGCCCCTGTGACATACCTCATGCAGCACACGCGGCGCATGCAATGGAGGGCTCGGGTATTGACTCGTGGTCACAGGCAGGGACCACTGGGGCCACTACAAAACTTACGAGCACAAACAGACCCCGCTCCTGTGCCATTGCTCCGGATGTGGACTTTAAAGCGACCCACTGTGAATCACCGTTTGCTCTTTGATCGCATGCAGCAGAATCCTTACTTGCAATTGTTTTTTAGGCGAGTCCATAGCGAAGCGCGCAACATGTGCAAGTGAAGCCCTGAGAGCAAGGTCTTGGAGAGCGAAATCAGCTCCCATCGTTGATCACCATTCATCACCCATGGTGTCAGAGCCGCAACCGCGGTGTAATTTCATCCAGCTGCTGATGCCTAACATGGGTGTCCAGGCACAAAGTTGTCAATGCAGCGACGGCAGCGTGAAAAGCGTAATCGGAGCTGCAATGGCTCGCGCACACGGTGCACCTCGTGCTAAGGAGCCCGATTGCAAGTCGCTGCTGTCTTTCTGGCTCATGGAGCTGAGACACTGACTGGCTAGACAACTCCTAGGTCGTTATGTAGTTGAGCCCTTTCAGGATTCGATATGAGACAGGCGACAAAACTGGCTTCGCCTCAACATAGGCAATGCTTCCCAGCGCAGCGCGCCCAATTCGCCATGTCTCCCGTCTGCTAGGTGTTGCTGCCCGGCAGCAACGAGAAAGTTCTTTGCCTTTCCTGTCCGCCTTCATCCATGCCATCCCCAGTCGATGCTGGAGTTGCCACGGCCCATTGTGGCAGCCAAGCCTGCGTCCCGCGCATTGTAGACCTAGTCTACCCAGCTTGTGTTCACAGCGAAAGTCGCTACTTCAGCTTCATCACCAAGAGGGAGTGTAGGATCTTGTCCACTTGTCTGTTGGATGTGGCGTACGTTCACTCTGAGCTCGTTACACCGTATTTTGGCGCACAAGCGGGTCTGCAAAAGAAGCAACTTGCACATTAGTGTGAGTGGGCGCGCTTCATGTTCCTCAAGCTGAAGCCATTCTTGCTAGTATGGGTAGCCAACATCAACCCATCGGCAAATTGCTTCGAAGTGCTGTGAAAGGCTTCTAGTTGCGAAAGCCTGTGTTGCTCTGTTTGCCTGTGCTCCGAAGCAGCTCAGGCCAGACTCGCCGGTGTCCGGGCACAGTTGCCGAGACAGGTTGGTCGTGCTGGCCATGCTTTCGCATCCTCAGCAGGCAACAGACATGGAGTTTCGGGGCCGTGAAGCCCTCAATCCTAAACCGGCAAGATCCTGGACATCTCTGCTTGCGCGGTAGGAAAGGACACTGAAGCCGGTCCCACGAGTGAAGGAGAGACTGGAGAATCCAGGTCAGGCTGCTTGGTGCTTGAGCGGGTGGTGTCATGAGTTTCGGGTTTAGGGCAATTCCTGCACGCTGCTGAGTTGGCAGTTTTTTTTCAGCCATGTTGAGCTTGCGAAATCGGAGATTGTAAACGCTTGCGCGTGCCGCCTCAAGGCCCAAGAGATTGCGAAAAACCTTTCGCAAATCTTGCAGACTCATAAGGTTTGAGAGGATGTGTCAGGGAGGGTCCCAGGGCAAGGCGGTTCAACGGGGGAAGGGGGATTTAGGGGGGCTCCTGGCATGGTGCAAGGGAGGGCATTCCTTGCAGACGACAGGCGGGATCGGTCTGTGGCTCTTCCAAGCGATCCGGGATAGGTCCCACAGAAAGGGCTCGGGGGTGCGTCACTAGAATCAGTGTTGGGGGGAAAGGTTGGGAAGGCGGGAAGGAGACCGGATCCCTGAGGCGAATGTTAACCTTTGTTAACATACTCGGACGGTACTCAGAGGCCACTTCACGCTGAGGCCTTCAGAAGCCATTTCCAGAGCACATTCAGATCGTTAGAGAACCGAGTCGGACGACTTTTAAAGCTGGAGATTGGCTCCAATTTGGGCTACTTTGTTGGAGAATGCATGCCAAAGGGTGCAACAGGGCACTGGGCTGGGAATCGTTCAGGATACATAGGTGCCCTAAGACATTCTGAGACCATCTCGAGGGGCCTGAACTCTATGCGCATTGCCAGGAAAGTGAATGAAAATGCGCAGCTCTTGGATCTGCTGCCTAGTGCAGACAGAGTGAAGGATGCGGGAAGCGCCTCAAGGTCCAGTTCACATGGAAGTCAGCAATCTTCACTTGCTTCGTGGGTGGCTTCTGCATATGGCGCGCTTTGTGTCGTGAATATGCTGAGCGGCGTCTGCTTACTTGTCTCCTTGCGGCACATGCCAGGTACTACGACTACCTGAAGGATCGCAAGGAATCAGAATCCCGAGCCATCACAACGCAGGAGTCGCTTGCGGCGCTGTGCTGGCCGAAGTTGTGCAGCTTTGCCAAGTGTTCCCAGAGGAGCGAATTGGCGTTCCAAGACTTGGTGGTTCCTTCGAACTGGTGGACAGGACTGGGACTGTATGTTTGACGCGGCTCTTCTTACATATATATATATATATAAAGTAGGGTTTATATTACTGTTATTGGTGAGTGTACATAAGGTTCCTTTTTAAAATGGGTGAGTGTATATATTGGGTGTCCTTTTGGGGGTACAAGAAATATAAACCCTACTTTATATATATATATACACATATATATGTAAGATTTACACGTATAACATACGCACACACACATATATATATATATATGCATATATATATATATATATGTGTATATATATATATATATATATAGTATATGTGCATGAACAGATTGCGGCTTGATGTGGCAGCTCCCCCACACCTCTTCGGCCGCCTCCCACAGGGCCGCGAGCCAAAAAAACCTCGCGGCACCCTAACCTAAGCCCCAAGACCTCTGCCCCTGCGAGCCCTGGTAATTTCCAGCCTGCCAGGCCCCTCCTGCCTTCCTTTCGCCCCGAGCTCCCTCTGCCTAAGTTCAAGCCCTGGCCGGGCCTGAGCCCAAACTTCCAACCCAACCGGAACCCTGAGCTTGAAGCTCTAAACCCCAACACGGGCTTCAGCTTCAAGGCTTCTTCTGGCTAAGCCCCAAGCTTCAAGAAGTAGGGCGTAGGGCTTAGGCTTGAAGCCCATAGAGACCCCAAGCCCAACACCCTGAGCACAAAAGAAGGTCCATGGGTCTGGGGCCTCAAGCAAGGAGCTGTCAACACCCGGTTGGTAGCCAAATTTTGCCGCTCGCCCGTGCCCACACGAAGCGTGCAAAACGCACACTCACGAGTTTTCCTCCCATAGTGAATCATATGAATATGACATCCAGAATATACAGTGTATGATATACAGTCATATAGTGCAAGAGGGCTCAGTAGAGTAGAGTACAGTATGGAGTATAGTATTGTACATGAAAAGACAGAATCAACAAGCAGGTAATCGCGACACATGTATGTTTCAATTCGAAATATCCGTGCAGAGCAAGGGTCTGTGGGGCAGGAAGGGCAACACCGTGACCGACAAAGACTTCTTGGGCCAGTGCCCTCTGTGACTACATGAATCTAGGTCGATCGCCCGGTGCTCTTGAACATGTAAGCCGCCTGGAAGATTTCTGTTGGCCTTTAGCTGCAACCCATGCCGTTGCGTGCGACCCGATGCTTCGACGATTGCTTTCATAATGCCGAGAATATCGTCTGGGTTCTTTAAGTTCTTTAAGGAGGCCTGGCGTTGTTGCAGGTACTTGCTGATCTATTTCGGATTCACGTTCTGCCCCGACATCTGCCCTCAGGCTGGCAGTCGCCTTCGTTAGAGGATCTGCACGTCTTAACAGGGCGTAGGGTTTAGGCTTAAGAACTGAGGGACATGGTTGGCCCTTTCAAGCCTTATACCGTAATCCCCATTAACGGAGCGCGCATAGCTCTTCACATACTTTTGGCAGACGGGCGCGCTCGCAGCTTTGCAAAAGGGTGAGAAGAGGTGCAGCTGGGCTGTGTCAGGAGATGGAGAAACAGACACAAGCAGTTGAGCTGCTTGAAAAAGAGTTTGGCACTTGTTATCATGCGGTTCCTTGTCCAGGAACTTAAACGTAGTTTCCGTAATACGAGCACCATTTCACTATAGAACCTCATGATGGTAGCTCAGTTTAAGTTCCTGAGCAAGAACCCCATGTACGTCCGCTGCATCGCCACGCCCATATCGCCACGCCCCAACATGGCTGTCCGAGGTTCGGGCCGATTGCAACACCGGTCTTCATTAGCAGCTGCCTCGCTTTGCGCATACACTGGCTTGCTGTTCTGTTGAGGAACTTGAGCGAAGTTACTTGAATACGGCAACCGTATATCAGTTACCATATAACTACCGTTATCGACACTGATTTTTGGTTCCTTCGAAGGAAGCCAGTGCAATGTTGAGACGTGGTCTTGCCACCTGCCGTATCCTTTTTAGGTATCGATCCAAAGAGGGATTTGCCTGCAATCGTAGACGACTACTGCAAGGTGCCCTGCATTGGCGTCATGCCTTGCAATAACCTTGGACCGAGAGGGTGAACCGACTTTGCCGGAGGAGTTTCATCCGCGAATTGTTGGTCTCACTGGCACACCCGAGCAAATCAAGAAGGCCAGAGTTTTGTCTCTCAAGAAAGAGAATGCTGACTGCACTCTTTTGCTTGACAGGTGAGCCGCCATGCGCTCAGCTTCAGCCCATTTGCCCACATTGCTTGGCGGACGGTGCCGTTTGCCTACAACAAGGTGCTTATAGAGTTTACTACAACGAGGGCCTGAAGACAGATGATACAGTCCCAGCCTTAATAGGACGTAGTAGCGCAAGCTCCTTCTATTTCGGCCTCACGCCAACGTCGATGCCGAACTAAGCACGGACATGGCAACCGCGCTACACTTTCACTTGTGGGAAAATTCAGGGTAGCCGCCGTAGTGGCTTTGCGTTCCGGAACCCTAAACTCTAAACCATAGAAACCCTAGACCCTAGAGAAGTCAGCTCAGGACTATCTGGTCGACCACTCCATCATTCACTATTTTGTCGGCAAGAACGGGAAGTTTCTGGATTTCTTTGGAAAGAATATGACTGCAAAGGCCTTCTGAGCTTCTTTTGTTCGTGTATTGGGTCAGGGTTGTTTTCGTGTTCAGCTCGTGGCGCAGGAAATGACCGAAAAGATGAAGGGATACATTCGGCAGGACCTGCCGCTGGAACTTTGTTGTGCCTTCAAAGCGATGCTCACCTGTCGCCTGTCACAGGATCAAGAAAGTGCGAAGCAGCGAAAGCAGCGGCGCGGAGTAGAAAGTGCAGACGAGGTGTGTCAGGGCCTACGGACATGAATTTTGGGTGGCTGTCCCTGAACCCTAACCCCTAGCCCCTAAACCAAAATGTCCAGCACTGTAGTAATTCAGGATTCCTCCTTGACAGGGACTCTTATCGCACGGTTCATCGCTTCAAAGGGGCCTTCAGAGCAGCCCCCCATGTATGATGTGCATTGTGTGCAAGGCATCATGAAGCCCGCCAGGAGTGAGCGGTCTCATGATTCGGATCTCAACTTGGGCAAGGCGAAGGCGTGGGCCCTCCGATGCAAGTTCGCAGTTAATAGGGATTCTTGTCTGCTTTTTTTTTTTGAGACGGTTTTTGGGTGAGGCCGTGGCTTTTTTGGTGGAGGGGTGGGTGGATCATTCAGGAGTCATGAGAGCGTAGGGGTCAGCTCCACCAAGGTTGTCTTTTGACTTGCGGACCCACAAACATCCACAAACAAACGCTCATGGCGATGATGTAGGAGTTGTGTCAGAAGGCTCGTTCACCGTGGAAGGAGCTTGATGCAGTGGACCCCCTAAACCCTAAACCTTAAACCCTAAACCCTAAGCCCTAAACCCTAAACCTTAAACCCTAAACCCTAAACTCTAAACCCTTTTTTGCAGCTGGTTCAGGAACCGACATGCTGAAGGATGCTGAAGGATCCCCGGGCAGCGCCACTTCCCAGATCGGAGCCTGAAGCGCGATCTACGTGATTGTACATGCATGTCCCGCATGGATCATGCCAACGCGCTCGAGCTTGCAAAAAGTACTGCCTTGTCGCTGCTTAACATACTTGTTGTTTCTTAGCATTCGAGTGCTTATGCAGATGCTTGGCTTTGGCGTTCGATCTACGTCTCCTGCATCCTGCAGCTCGCCGCATTCTAGCTGCTCCACTGCTCTATGCTTCTGTCTTGAGCCGGGTCATACTTGGAGACTCCAGGCCACAACAATGTCAAAACTCACTCGGTTGGGGACACAAGCAGCTTACCGAGAGCTGGAGTAGTCACGATTGGCGCCGACGAAGAAAGTGCGGAACGATCAAGTGGCAAGGATACGGAACGTATAGGTTGACCCTGTAGCTGAGGGAGTAAAAGGACTATCTGCACCAGCGCGGCATTAGCACGGCCCGTCGTGATGTAATACAGCTCAAAGACTGACATGAAGAAGGTGGCCGTAACCGTATGTAATTACTCATGCTGTGTCGCTGAAGGTTGCGAAGTCTCCCGCCTCTGCCTGCAAAATTTGGCTGAAGAGGGGTCGTGCCGCCGTGACTCTATGCCATGTGCTCATCTCCGCACCAGATCCCAGCACTCGATCCAGGCTGGAAGAGCACCCTTAAAAATCGCAAAAGTCCTTAGCTATCTTAGCTGTAGACCCTAAAATACCCTAAAACCCCCTACTAATTGCTTGCATCGGCTCATTTTTTGGCAGTTATCTTCTCGCAGGCGCGACATGGGGTCCGGCGGCTCCACCAGGGCGGCTCCTGGAACTGGGCCATGCCAAGCCAACACCGGCATCCACATGACCAGCATGGATCCGCAGCTCTCCAAGAAGTACATGTCGCTGGATCAGAATGGCAAGGTGCAAGCCGAGTTGCTTGGCTGGACTTGGCAGTTACGATTTGTGAAGCTGAGTGATTTTTGGGGTTAGATTTCTCGGGGGAGTTCTCTGGAAGCACCCTGCTCGAGGTATGTCTGGGTCGACTCTGACTATTGGGATGGACAGAGCTTTGACCTGTGCTGCAAGACACTCACGCTCGAAGAAGCTCCAGTTTCCCTGGAAGAAATTCCTATCTGGACCTACTCGGGAGATGCTTCATAGCTGCAGGATGTTCTAAGCACACGCATGCAGACTTTGTACCCATGTACTTCTGAGGATGAACTGATTGAGCCTTCAAACAGTGCAGGCTGACAGTGCACTGTTGAACTGAAATGTCGCTTCAGGAACGGTGCAATTTCCCTATCAATGAGAAGTCGAATGCAGGTAGTTCATAGCTGTGCCCGAAATATTGTTGCTTGACTGGCTCTTTGCCCAGGATGCAAAGGACATCGTGATTGTGCCGCGCCGGATGTACCGGGACCCATTCCGGCCAGGCAACAACAATATAATCGTCTTGGCAGACACGTACCAGGAAGCTCGGCAGCTACGGATGAAAGGGGTTCAGCTACGGATGAAAGGGGTTCATGCTTTGTGACCGACTCCTGCTGCGGTGTCACGCCTCTGTGCTCACATTGCAGACGCCTGGCTGGCAAACTCCCAGGAGCCGTCGGGTGATGAGAAAGATTACGGCTCTGCAACAAAATTCAACACACGCGCTGCGTGTGAGGCAGTGCTCAAGGCTGCAACTCATGCACTTGAGGGTTCTTACCGGGTGCCCTATGTGACCCCTGAAAGCCAACTCTGAGGTACCAAGCTTCCCAATTGGCCTTTTAAGAACTAGCTTGGTAGCCCAGTGCTACCCTTTAACCCTTTTTTTTGGTTCTAGGTACGCTTGTAAAGTAACCAACAACAAATGGGTACCCTGTTGTCGTAGGCTACCAAGCTACTCGTAGGAAGTTGTCGCAGAAAATCTCACAAGAATCTCAGCTTCAGCTTACAGAGTGTGGATGAGCTCATCATCTCCCTGACCAGGAAGAGACAGGGCTTACAATGGCGGAGGGCGGCCCCCTAAAACCTAAACCCTAAGCCCTAACATGGGTCGAGTTTAATTTGGGGTCTGGATGATGAGTGAAGTTGGAGATAGGGCTGTCAGAGGACTCTTTCCACCAGCACGAGGCGCTGTTAGATGAGCAAGCAACAACCGTATTACGGGTTTAGGTTGTTTTGGGTTCAGGGTTCGTGTGGGGAAAGTTTGAAAGTGAGGGGTCAGTTCAGGGGTTGTGTCAGGATGTGGAGAAGTTGGCTTGGTGTGGGAAGTCAGAGGTAGATTAGCCGACTGTTTGTCGGGAAGGTGTGGCACAGTGTTTTCTTTGGTTCTGTTGTTCCCTGCCTTCTCCGAACCGTCTCACACCCCAGCGCACTTGCAAGGGAAGGTCCTTGGCCCGTCAGAAGACGAAGCAAGAATGACATGAAACAGAACGAGAAGAGGGATGATGCCAAACATGAGTATCCCACACGGCAGACTCTCGCCCAGGCCATGCGCCGCGCCGAAGAAATCGGAGAGGCACCGAGCGCAGTTTTAGCTTTGATGACAGCGGCCATGCCTCATTTGCTGTAGGATCCCTGGTTTGGCTTTGAGCAAGAGTATTACTTGCTTGACACCACGACAAATTGGCCACTGGGATGGCCTCGCGGGAAGTATCCTGACAAAGACACGGCTGCTTGGCTCATGCGTGTCAGGGATCTCATGCAAGCAGTGCACCCCACCCAGTGCACCCCCTCCACCCACCACCCAGTGCACCCCCTCTTGCAGAGGAGTTCATTTCCCCGGTTGTGCAAACTCTGATACGTGACTAAGGCCTTCTACTGCTCTGTGGGATCAGAGAAGGTCGTGGCACGCAGCCTCATCGAGTGCCATTATCGAGCTTGTCTTTATGCCGGAGTGATGATTGGTGGCATCAATTCCGAGGCCGTGATATGTTTCAAGCGGTCTTTGAGGTATTGTTTCTTTTGAGGTTTTGGTGAGTGTACCTAAGGCTCCTTATAAGCATTGGTGAGTGTACTTGTGGGGTGTCCTTTAGCACATGCCAGCGGTACACATCACATAGTTAGCCCGAATTCTGTTTAGATGCATCCGCTTCCTCTTATGCGGGTGCAGAGAGGCCTGAGGGACCAAGACGATGGTCTAGGGTTCTCGTCCCTCCCTGTTCAAGGTCGCACCTGGCCAGTGGGAGTTTCAGGTGGGTCCAGCATCTGGAACGCTGCTCGCACGCAGCAGGCCCCAAACCCTAAGCCTTGTGCGGGGCTTTCGAAACCAGGGATCCCTTTTTGGGGTCCTGCGCAGGGCGATTCTGCCCGTATCCTTGGGCGTACAAAAGGGGACCCTAAGTTTTTTTGGAAGCTCGCATATGGGAAGTTCTCTAAATTAGGGTCCCTGTTGGAATCCTGTTTTTGAGGGTGGCGTAAAGTCCTTGAAAACGGACCCTATTTAGAGAACTGCGAGTCTGGAAACTTACATGACAAGCAGGCGCCTGAACCCTGGACCCTAAACTGAGTGATCTGAGTGGAAGTCGCCGCAAGGTTGGGTGCGGATGATTTGTGGATGGCACGATACATCTTGCAGAGACTATGCGAGGACGGAAGAGGAACATGCAGAATCACGAGTGATGTGAACTGACGCTGAGGAGTTCCAGGTGGGTGTCACCTTTGATCCAAAGCCCGTTCCAAAGCAAGCTGGAATTGGCTGCTGAACCTCAGTGATGTGCATGGACATCTAGAAGCACTGTTTCCTCAGCAGTGCCGGATGGCCCCGTTACTGGCCCCGTTACTGAGGTCACACAAACTACTCCAACATGGCTACGCGTAGTAGCCCAGGAAGATTGCAAGGGTGTTCACTGTGCTGTTGAGAGGTGCATGGCGACAGATGGTGATGTTGTGAGAGAGTGGTGGTGCTGGTGACACGTGGTCAACTCCTGCTCTATAGGGCGTGTGTTTGATCTTGATGCTGGCTCGAAGGAGGCATGGAGGCCATCAAGCTGCAGTGTGAGCGGCTGCGAAAGAATCATGTCCTTGCCTCAGAGCATCTTGACTGCGTGCTTCATGTGCTTCCTTTGGCTTCTGCGCCCCTGGAGCCTCATGTGAGCGAAACTACAGGACAAGCACATCGCGAATTATGGAATTGGGAATGAGCGCCGTCTCACTGGCAAAGACGACACGGCTTCGATCAATGACTTTTCATGGGGTGCGCCTGCCACAACAAACCGTGGACACTTAATGGGGAGTGGTGCCATCAGGCTGACATGCTTGCAGGTGTAGGTGATCGAGCAGCCAGCATACGCATCGGCTGCAAAGTAGCCGCTGCCTTAGCTGATGGTGGGTGTATCGGACCATATATAGAAGATATTCAAATCTTGCCTGCCACGATGCGGCCAGGCGATGCGTGACTGTGGCTACTACGAGGCAGGTTGCCTATCCAAATCCTAATGTGTTTCCACTGCGGAGAGCCTGACGCAGGACAGGCGGCCGGCAGCCAACATGGATCCATACTTGGTCTCTCAGCTTCTGGCCGGGATCCTATCTGCTGTGCTGAGCAGTAGTACGCGGTGTGCGTTGGGGGGCGGAGGGGTGGGGCGAGCCCCCCAAATTGTGAGCCAAAACAGTTGTGCATCTGGACGAAGCAGAGGCATAGGGAAGTTGCGCTTTGACTTCACAACCGCCACCACCACCGCCACCGCCACCGCCACCGCCACCGCCACCGCCACTGCCTCGAGCCACCACCGCCACAACCCCCAAAACCGCCACAACTGCCAACTGCCGCCACCACCCTGACCACTACCACCATTCTGTCCACCACCACCACCACCGCCACCACCAACCGCAACTGCAATCGAAGAAAGAAGATTTTGCAGGTTTTTTTGATGGCGGGGGGGGGGGGGGGGGGGGCGGGTACAGGGAGGGCGGGGGAGCCTCGAGGGGTTATGGAGTGAGGCTTAGGGAACGCTGGTGCAATTGTGCTCTCCGGTGTCAAGTCTTCGCGATGAGGCGGCACGCATGGACTTCCGCATTGCTCGTCATTTCAGGAACGAGCATTTTGACGACAACCCGACAAACGCACTTAGCAGAGCAAGCTTGACTCCTGAGGTAAGGTTTCCCTCAAGTGTTGAGGTCGAGACGACCCTTCTCCAGAACGAGGAGAACGACTCCAAGCCTGACTCAGGCTCCAAGCCCGACCTTGAAAGTGTGCCGATCGAGTAACAGTAGCAGAGTGGTGCTTGGGGCGTCACCAGACGTACCTACCTACCAGCAGCGTCTGCGCCACCTGGTATCTGGGCCCGTCTCCTTCCGGCTTTTCGGATTTAGGGTCCAGGGGCAAGCCCCTTTAAGCCAAAACGGGCACCTTATCTATTCCCAGGTTACTCTTGGGTCTAAGTAAGCATCCAGCTTACACTTGCAGCGCTTACAGTGTGCAGACATAAGCACGTCAGCTGCCTGCCTGGCCGAAACAAGACGTAGAGGCAAGGCATGTTCATTCCGAAGTGTTTGAGCGAGGTGTGTTGTTTCCGTGCACTTCTTCTTTTTGTCGCGAATGTGACACGTCTGAGATTTATCAGCTCATGACCGTCGAGAGGGTCATAGAGTGAGAAACTAGAGAACAGCAAAACACGATTTTGAAGTTAGTTGCTGCCGCCAAGCGGCAGAAACTAGCGTTGAATTCATGAAGTCTGTATATTGAGCTCCGCAAAGTGGAGAAGTTAAAGCTGCAATTTCGTGGGATGCTGTTGACCCGAGCATGCTGCACGCACCACGTGACCTGCTTTAGCCGCTTCATGCACTTGAGCTTTTGCTGGTTAGAGGCCTCGCAGAAAAGAGGCTATCCATTCCGCGCGACGAGTAAGAATGGTGCAATGAACATCAGATGCGTGAATGCTGCTCAGCAGACCCACGACTGTAAGGTTGCAGTAACTTCTTCTTTAGGAAGGATGCAGGCAGAACCATGGTCGCAAGCAGCAAGTAGCCAAGTACACGGTTGGATGGTTCCGTTCCTCTTGCGGCCGACGGTGAGATGATTCCTGGAGGCAGCCATCCGTTCAGTGTAGTGATGCTTGAGTTCGTCCCTAACCCCCCGAACCCGAAGCCCTAAAGGGCTCTGAGGCAATCCCTTGCTGCAGATCGTGCCCTTGGTGTTGACTGGCCTGTGTTGACATCATTTAGAGCAGAGCGTTCTAGAGCATCTTTGGTTGAGCTGGCCGTTTGCCTCGAATCCTTAAACCCTAAACCCTACAATCCGTGGGCTTGCCAGGGTGTCGTGCGAGCCTCGGTGCAGTCGTATTTCGGATGTGTGTGCGGAGAGAGCCGATCAGGGAGCGAGAGAGGAGAGAGAGATACTGACGGAGCAGCGGGCCGTCGTGGCCGGGGCCCTTCCGCAAGCAGAAGCCTTCAGAAGCAGCAGAAGAAGAACAAGGAGAAGAAGGAGAAGAAGAACAAGAAGAACAAGGAGAAGAGGAGAGAAGAACTCCGTGTCGTCCCACACGGTCGCAGCGTTGGAGCGAGATAAAGCGCAGGATGAAGTCAAGACCTGAATAGGACCTCCAGCACAGGTTGTGGGAAACTTGCGTCACAAGCGAGGCTCGTAGCGAGAGGCCATCCTGCGGCTCAAGCGACGGGGGATCGAGTTAGGTCTACGGACGCTCGAAGGCGATTTCAGGCGCACGCGAATGAAAAACCTCGCACCGCAAGCCCAGCAGACGAAGAAGAACCCTAAACCCTAAACCCTAAACCCTAAACCCTAAACCCTAAACCCTAAACCCTAAACCCTAAACCCTAAACCCTAAACCCTAAACCCTAAACCCTGTGTTTTGGGAGCATGTGCCCCAGCGGAGCCGAGTCTGCCTGCTCTTGCTCATGGGGGCCCGCAGAAAAGGGGGGCGGAACATCAGTTCGGAAGGTCTTCTTGCTCCAGCAATATGACATCGAGAAGTTGGGGTGCGGGCCCTACCCTACTGTTGGTTGCAAGCCGTGTCCACCACAAAGCAAACCCTAAACCCTAAACCCTAAACCCTAAACCCTAAACCCTAAACCCTAAACCCTAAACAGCTGCACTCCGGGACCTTGTTAATGCAATTGCTCCGTTTCCCGGGCTCGGCCTTCTTGAACACAAGCTTGCGTGCCCGGTTGATTCCCGAGTTCCGGAAGTGCCATGCAAGCCAGGGCTTCACCTTCGAGCTAATCCGGGGCCTCAAATTCCATTCAACACTTGGACCGTTCCGAGATGTTCCGAGCAAAGTTTAGCTCCATTCTGCAGCCCTGTTGAAAGCTCAGTTACGGCAAGTTTTGGCTTCATGTCGCTTCTCCGTGGTTTGCAAATGTTGACAATATTGGTAGACGCACACACACGCACACATTGTTGTTGCCAAAGATGTGGTCAAACGAAGCATTGTGCTGGAGTAGTTCTTTAGCGTCCAAAGGCACCTTTGCGCACGCGACAGTGGGTCCACAAGCCTGCTAGCTTTCCTGAGTCCGATCACCGAAAGGTACCTGATGCACCTTCGTGTCGTTTTTGCCATCGTTCAGCTTTGCTGCGCGGCTCCTGATCCTTCTGAGTGACGCTGTGATCGGGTAATATAGGGCACATGTGATTTGAGGTGGAAGTGCCTTGCTTTTGGAGCTTGCCTTAGCTGACCTCTTTCGGTATCTTCAGTGGAGTGGATGCCGAAGTATACCCAAAGCAGACGTCGAGGTCCGATTCAAGATTGAGGGTATGTCAGAAGGCACCAAGATTCAGGCCGCGTTCGACCTGTTTTGGCGAGCTTGCGCATTGGGCTTGTGAACTTTGATCAAAGTTTTTGTCAAACCGTGCCTGCTAGGTTCCGGCGGTTGTGCAGATGGGCGTTGAAGTAAAGCCGGAGCCTGAAGACAATGAGCTCTGCAGCTGTTTAGACAAAGAAGGTCTCAAGGCTCGTAAGGTCTATGGCTTGTAGTTGACCTGCTTGACACAAGGCCAGCCATGGAGCAATCAGTGCGAGAGTATGTCAGCACCTGAAATGGATGATGCCTCGCAGTCATGGCAAGCCAGTCACATGTCATTGTCATTCATTTAGGCTTTGCTCGGAGGTTCATGGAACATCATAAGTAGGGTCATATGTACCTAGATGAGGCGATAACTTTAGACTCAACTACCCATGAACCTCGAAGTGAGCCGTCCTGTCAGACTGCTTGTTGTTGCGGAGCCTTTTGATTACTGGGCGACTGACAGCATAGCACAATGCGGTGTTTTCCTCGGCCTGCCTATACCCAAAATGTCAAGACTTTGTTAGGGAAGGAGTGCATGTGAAGCGAAAGTCCGTTCCAATGCTTAAAGAGTCGAGACATTATTCTAGGGGCTTCTTAAATTGGGGGTACCCTTTCTGGGATTCCTTTACTGAGGAATGTACGTATACCCTTCTTGGGGGGGGAGGGGTATGTTGGGGTACCCCCATGTTGGGATATGCCCACATCAAATCATGGACCGAACTCATGGCAGAAATGGACAGCCATGCCCTGCCCTTGATGGATATGGGCCATGGGCGCTGAACGTACTAGAGACCGAAAAAACCCTAAACCCTAAACCCTAAAGCCTCCTCAGCCCTCCTAACCCTGAACCCTAAAAGGGATCCTGGCATGTCTACCTTGGTGAGCACTTTGAGTTGTGGTCCCTGTTGATCCGGCTTCCTGTTACAAAAAGTCCCGACCGAACGTGGACCTCAGGGTGCTTTTGCAGGGTTTAGGGTTGTGCGCTTTTTCCCAGATGGGGTTTGGCAGAGACGGTTTTGCTAGTGAGATCTTCTGGTGGACGGGAAAGCTTGCTGCAAACGCTGATCTTCGGCCTGCTTACGGCACGGTTCATGAGGCGACTACCCTCAACCCTCGACTCAACCCTAGCCCTTTCGGAGTTTAGGTCCTAAACTCATACCCATCCGGCTTTGCGGGCAGGTTTTGCGGGAGAGAATGCACTTCGAAGCCATGGATTGTCGTGCTAAATAATCGCAGTGTTAATGTGGGCCCGAGCAAATCCTGGGGTCCCCCTTTTGGGGCTTTTGGGGCCTCGGACCTTACAAATCCAGGTTTTCTAAGGCAAGATTTCCCTTTCAAGGGGGGGTCGGGGTTTCAGCCGAACTACTTGGCCTTTAAACTTGGAAAATTACGACTTGACCAAAATGGTTGGCACGGTTTCCGAACCTTTTGGTGCATTTTGAAGCGTTTCTGGGCCTCCTGTGAGCTAGCTCCCCCAACATGGAGGGCACCCGAAAACCTTGGGTTTCTGTACTGAGATTCGTGTTTTTTATTATGGGTTCGAGCAAGGGGTTTAGTGTCTAGGGGTTTAGGGATTAAGGGTTTAGGGTTTACAGTAGGGGCTTCGGGTTTGTTGGGGAGTTAGGTTTGCCTCTTTTGTTTTCAGGACATGTCAAAGTGGTTCGAGCAGATGCAGCAGCCCGCAGCCCAGCATTGACTTGCAAACCGGAATGAGATGCAGCGGCCACGTTGAAAGCTTTGATGAAGTTGTCCAGGTAGTTATAAAAATGGTATGATTATATTAGGATATGATAATAGTAATACATTACGATTAAAAAAGTCTATCCTTCGATGGGGGAGAGAGATGTGATGAAGAGAGAGGGTTGACGCTGGGGCACCACGAGCAGAAGAAGGGTGATGGGCATGGGAATCGACTGAGCTGTTTCTTGGAACCTGGACCCAGGCAAGTCATTGGCTGCATCGTGCTGGCCTGCATTCACGTGATCCCGGCGTGTTTCGACTTCTTGAGCCATCTTGAGGCACTGCCTTTAGTGGTAGACATATTCGCGCCAGGTGCATTGGGGCTACGTCACCCCATTGGCACTTCAGTGTGCCACAGCGCCGCTTCAGCTTATGGATGATCCTCGTCAGCAGTGGCCCGGTATAGGTTCGCTGGATACCAGTCAGTTGGAAGAATTGCACTTTCACTTCTCATGGGATCTCATGGGTACTTTTCAGGGCCCGTTATAAGATTAGTAATGTGGTCTGCTGATTAGTGTGCCCACCCCCCCCCCCCCCACCCAACCCCCCTCCAATAAATGGATCCCCCCCTGTTTAGTGTGGGGCGGGGGGGGGGGGGGGGGACCTGGCTTTTTTGACTTGAAAAGGGATGAGCTTGTATGAATTTTAAGGGGATGGATATGATTTTAAAAGGGGTGAGATGGTATGAAATTAAAAGTGATCCATACGATTTTAAGAGGCTGAAT